TCATCAAGCCAAGGGAAGTCCACTTTGGGAGGAGGCAATGCAGAAGGAATTTGATGCTTTAAATGACAATAAGACATGGGAAGTTGTTAAACTTCGTAAAGGAAAGTGTCCCATTAACTGTAAATGGGTCTATAAAGTGAAATATAGAGCAAATGGAACTATTGAACATTATAAAGCTCGTTTTGTGGCTAAAGGATTTACACAAAAGAGGGTGTCCATTACCATGATACTTTTTCGACTGTCATAAAATCAATACAGTTTGAAGTCTTGTTGCTTTAGCTGTGAAGAAGAAATGGAAGATCCACCGCTTTGATGTAAATAACACATTTTTGCATGGCGGTTTACATGAAGAAGTGTATATGAAAAGGCCACCGGGTTTGAATCAGTCCAATCCATCTCTTGTATGCAAGTTAAAGAAGTCTTTGTATGGATTGAAGCAGGCTTCATGCCAATGGTAAGATAAGCTATCTTCAGCCTTAACTCAAAATGGTTTTCAACGATCTGCAAATGATTACTCTTTATTCATCAAGAAGGTAAATAACTTCATCATCATTGTTGTAGTTTATGTTGATGACGTTCTTGTAACCGGCGATAACAATGATGAAATTTCTGCCCTTAAATTTTTTCATGACGATCAGTTCAAAATCAAAGATTTGGGAACAATTAATTTCTTTCTGGGATTAGAATTTGTTGACACAGAAAATGGAATGATGGTTCATATACATAAGCTCATAAAGGATTTATTGGATGCATATCTACCCAATAATGCCAAGATTGTTCATTCTCCTTTGCCCAGCAAGCTCAAAGATCTTTATATGAAACAAAGTGTCTTGATGATCCAACTATATTCAGACAGTTAGTTGGGAAGTTCATTTTTTACTTCATACACGTCCAGACAGTTAGAGGCTTTTTGAGATTCTGACTGGGCAGCTTGTCCCACAACTTGTCATTCTATTAGTGGATTTTTTTCATAACAATGGGAGGAAGTCCAATTTCTTGGAAATCAAAGAAACAAGCCCCCATTTCTTTATCATCAACTGAAGCTAATTACCGATCAATGCGTCAAGTTTGTTTTGAATTGGCATGGCTAAGTCGATTGCTTTCTAAATTTGAAGTCTCCAACATTACTCCAATTCCAATAAAATGTGATAACATGGTAGCTATTTACATAGCTAAAAACCCTGTTGTTCATGAATACACGAAACATATCGAAACTGATTGTCATTTTGTGTGAGAAAAGTTGCAAAGTGGATTAATATCATTATCGTAAATTCCTACTAAAGATGAACCAGCTGACATATTCACAAAGGCTTTATCTGGTGTTGAACATCAGCATGCGATTTCCAAGCTAAGTCTCATTTCATGTCCGCCATCTTGAGGGGGGGGGGGTATTGATGTATAAAAGTCAATGATAGTCAACTATCATTGTAATAAATAGTTAATTACTCTTCTGATAAGAAATATTACACGTGGCTTAAGTTTGTTAATCTGTTAAATTAGAGTTAGTTAGTTTATTATTCTTGTATACAATGAAGTCTGTAATCATTTTATAAGAGTTAATGAAAAGTTTCTTTCAAATCATTTTTTTCCTTCATCTTCTACAAAAAATTGGGGTAAATTTCTAAAATAGTTTTGAAAAAAACAATTATAATAAAAATTAAAAGGATTGACCAAAATATATAAAAAAAAATGAAAGACCAAATTTGTAATAGAAAATAAAACTTTTGGTTAAAACTATACAAAAGGAAAGCGAGAGGTGAAAAGGCAAAAGATGAATAAGAATGTTAATTGTAATAAAAGTTAATAGTTTCATAAAAAAAATAAGGACCAATTTTATAATAGAAAATCATCTAAGTTAAACCTATAAAGTACTCATTACATGGGATTGGTTGCAGCCGAATTAAAATTATTTTTATTTATTATTTTTATTTGATACTGTGTAATTGTGTTGTATACAAGTTTAATTATATAATATAGACAAAAACTTGGTAAATGGTATATATGGTTTCTAGGAATTTAGCTTTTAGTTTTTAATTTTAAAAAACTTCATTCAACCCATCTAAAAAGACTTTTATATTATTTTTATTTTATTTTATATTTTCTTAAAAAGTCATTGTATTTTCCCAAAATTTAAGATATAATCTCTAAGTTTAAAAGACTTTCTAGATAATCTTTATGGTTTCAAAACTTTTAACAAAAGTTCCTTATTGCTTATTCTATTAAGCTGGGATGTTAACTACCATTTTCGTCATTGCATTACCACATGGATTATTTATGAAACTTTTTGTTATCGTAAAAAAAAATAAATAAATAAATAAAATATCCGGTGGAACAAAAGGGTGTATGAGTTCATGTAAACATTAGAGATAGGGCTGATTTGAGATTTCTAGGGCATGAATCACGAACAGGTAATATTTTCTTTTCCGGATAACCACCATAGGCGTCGATCTAAATCCTTTTTTTCTTCTGCAACCTATTGGTTCCGATGTGCAATGTAAGGATTAAGGTATTTTTTTTCTAAAGTTTAATGTTGTAAAAAAAAACAAAATTAAAAGTTTAATGTAGGATTTCTTTGTATTTAGATGTATTTTTAAAGTTACTTCATTATATTATAATTATATGACTTCATTCCCTTGTTTACAATAAAACATTAATCGACAATTTTAGAAATTTTAAAAACAATTATTAAAATTATATTTTTATGAAATGTATATAAATAAGATATAAAATATTAATCTACAATTACATAAATTAATTGGTAATAAATAGTTGAAGAAATTATAAATTAGAAATATAATACTATATAATAGCCTGGCAAACTTAAAAAAATAAACACTTTTTTTTGCAGTAAATTCTTCGGCAGTATGACCAAAATTTTACAAATACAATAACCAAATACTAAAATCATCAAAAAAAGAAAATGCTATTTTTATATAAAAAAGAAGTGTTATTTTTATTTTTAATCGAGTAGGAAGAAAAAATGACAAAAATTAAGATTTAAAACAAAATAGTGGCTCAAAAGTGCTTGAAAAATAATCACAGGTAATCCCTCGTAGTTGTAATGATATGAGAGAGATTGTGTTCATCATCATTGCCACTTTTTAACCTCTGTTTCACCTCATTCTTAAAAATCATAACATAATAATTCAATTCATGTTCAAGAAACTACTCATTAACAGAAATCATTCGAAAATTTATAAAATTAATAATCCAAAGGACGAAAATGGGATTCAGAATGAGTAGGAGGTTAATTGTTCAATCACTTCGCATAATTTATGCTTCAGAAGACATTGTCAAATAAACTTTCATCATCACTATGCCAATTTCACCGATTTCAAACGAATTATTGCTCATAAATAACAGATCGAAACAAGAATGAAAACGTAATCAGAAGCAGAACGAAATCATTTAACGAATTATGAAGGTAATTGAAATCATAAGATTTACCTGTAGGAATGATTCTAGTAGTAATGTGTTTGCGTTCATATATAAAAGGGGGAAGTGGCTTTTGAGGCTTTAGGTGCTTAGGGTTAGGTTTAGGTTTTAGGGCATCATTCAGCTACAAAATTGTATTATGGGCCTCTATATAGCTTAAGCCCTAATGCCTAAAGGCTTCTCATCGTGGGCTTCTTACAATAGTTAGGTTTTTGATGTTTGTAATTTTGTAGTTGTATACAAGAATAACAAATATATATTACAAGAAGAAAAAACAAAATATAACAGCATTTTTTAAGAAACTAATCACAATTTAATAAAATCCTCCTAATTACCGATAAGGGAAACGTTAAAATGTGTTTTTTTTTTCAAAAACAAATCACAAATTAATAAAATCCTCCTAACCCACCTATATCTTTTCCATATATTAAATAACAAAAATTATGGAATTGATTGTTTTTAAGGGAATTTCCCTAATGAGAGTTTCGGGTCGGCTTTTGCGTACCGACAAATCTCCTGCTACAAACATGGGACTTTGCCTCATGTCCTGGAGTCATGCAGACGAACTTTCATGGCTATGAAATTTATTGTTGCTTCATGAAGATTTTGAATTTTTTTTCAGATAACCTTGAAGTGTCAATTTTGTAAAATCTATCAGAATGCCCTATAGTATGTCAAATTAATTATCTTAGCTACCATTTCATTTCTATGATATTATAAAATTTGTCAAGAGTCACTTAAGTACAAAAAAGTCCTACATTTTAGCTAATTTTACACTTATTTTACTCTTGTAAAAGGATGATCAATCCAAAAATTATTAATTATTATTTTAAACTTTTTTTTTTGGAAACGACAAATACAGTATAAACTACTCCTAAATTATTCGACCTATGTCCACAATGTGACTTGAACCCTCGACCTCAATGAGGTAGGACACATCGGATACCGCTGGGCTAGAAAGCCCTTTGGTTGTTTTTTTATATTAACCATACAAAATCACCACAATATCCTTAAACTAGTTCAAATGACATAAACTGTATGGTATGTCATGACTTGTGTAGCAAGGATCATGTTAAGATTGGACTATGATGTTCTCAAAGGGTTCGTGTAAAACCATGGTTGACATACTATCTGTTGCAAAGCTAGTTTTTGTCTAATAAGCTAATTGTTGGCTGATAAAGTAATACAGTTTGATAAAAACTTAGTTGAAAAGCTAGATGAAAATATAAAATAACATAAAAGACATAAACGTATAAATATATATTTGTAAAACTTACAAAAAAGAAATCATAAGCTTATCAATAAACTTATAAATGTATATTTGTAAAACTTACAAAAAAGAAATCATAAGCTTATCAATAAGCTATCTCGTTTAGTCTTTATTAAAAAAACTAGATTATAAGTTACTTTAATACTCTCACTAAACAATACTTTACAATAAAGTAGTTTATAAACGAACTTATAAAACCGGATATTGTTACACTTTATAAGAATTAAATAACATATAAACAACTTATAAAATACTAACATTATCTAAACAAAAGAATTTAAAATTTAGCAAAATTTCAAACAAATCGAATGATGAGCCTCCACATTGGGTAGATAAGCAAAAGAAGAATACCAATGGTGTTCGATATCCCATGGCTTTGCATGAAAGAATTCCCGAATCCACCAGATGCACGAATGTGTTCTTGAAGAAGATAACAACCAATCAAAAGACAAATCGCAACCCCAATCCAACTTCCCCTAAACGCATGAGCAAATAAACCCGGAGCAACTATCAAAAGAAGAATCAATGATCCAGGCATCTCCAACCAATCTGCATCCAATCCAAAAATACATACAAATTTTCCAAATTGTAAGAACTGAAGCGAATCAAAGAGGAGAATGAATACCTGGGAAATGACGTGGGAAGAACAGCCTTAATACAACTGCAATGAATGCGACCCACAACCCAAATTGTCCCCTGAAGATCGTCGGATACTTTTGTTACGTATGAAGAGAAGATTAGATGATTAGATGAATAAACTATAAAGAGGTTGGAAGAATTGGATACGAACCTTAAGAAGTGGAATAACGATGGAGGGAGACTGAAGTATATGTAAGGTACTAACAGTGATGTTAGCATGTTTGATCTCCAGTTTGTTCGATCCAGTATCAACAAATACCTGAATCATATGTTACTATCCTTAATCAAAGTCGTAATCAAGGACTTTTTCAACAGGTGAATTGCAACGAAAATCCCTAAAAATGGCTAATTAATCTCCAACGATCCTAATCACATCGAGCAATTACTAAATTCACAATCTGGAAAGTAAATTTCGACATCTGATCATGATCGAATATTCTAATCAAACTTGATTGAATTAAGGACAATTGAAAAACTCACATGGCAGCTAAGGATGCAACCCACGAAAGCAAGGAAGTGCCGAACCCTAAGCCGCCGAGCTTACTGACATGATTGAACAGCGTCTCTACGGCGAGTTTCAGCTCGGTGATATCGGCATTGAGTATCTCCGACGTCACCTCATCGGCCTTCAACGTCAAAATGTCGCTCCTCACCATTTCCACACTCGGATTTGATTAAACTAACACCAAATTGATCGACAATCAACGTTATGAACAGTAGAAAAGATGTATATCAAATGTTTGGGGTCCAAATGTACGAATTTTGAGGAGGATGGAAGTAGAAATAGGTGTGAGTGAATGGGGCTCCATATTTTTAGCAACGGTATTTAGTGCCGGAAGCACGGTCCGCTTCAAGTTTTCCGACTGTCGTTCCTCTTTCTCCTTATTTTCGTTAATTAACTATTAGACAAAATTATATAAAGGGTAAATTATAAGAATGGTCCACGTGGTTTGGGTTATTTTGCATATGGACTATGGAGTCATTATTTTATTTTATTTTATTAACTCGGATTATCCATATAATTAGTAATTACTCACTTTGGGTGCAAATAAGTCAAACTATTCGTGAGCTATTCGAGTTTGGTTCGTTAAAAGTTCGACTCAAAACTGATTTTAAATGAATCCGAACCAAACTCGAGTTTAATATTAAGCTCGTTTATTAAACGAGCTTGAGCTTGAGCCTATGTAACTAAGCTCGATTAGGTCTGCGAGCCTAAACAAGCTTATATACAATATAATTTATTATTATTTTTATATATTAAAATAAAAAACATATTTGGGGAATTAAAGATTTAGGTATTAGTAAACGAGTTTCTTTAACGAGCTTGAACCGAGCTTAAGCTTATTTAGGCACGTTAGACAACAACCGAACCAAACTCGAGCCTGAACCGAACTTGTGTAATTCTTTACGAGCTCGAGCCAAGCTCAGTACAAGAAAGCTCGAATCATGCCGAACTCGAGCTCGAGCCTTGTATAATTTAAATGAGCCCGAGCCGAGCCTGGACAGGCTCAGGCTCGGCTCGGCTCGTTTGCAGCCCAATTAATACACACTACCAAACCTACCTAAATGATTGTCATACTATTATTTATTATTTTAAGCGAAAATATCATATTATCACATCGAACTTGTCGCGTTTGTTTTATAAAGCCACCCATTTTTTTTTTTGCACATTAAGAGAGTGAACTTACAGTTTCCTGTTTTAAAATATCCTTATGTGACCTGATACCAAATTCAAAGGTAATATACGTGTCACGAAAGAAATGTTTGTTTCATGTCCCTTTAATGAAATGGTCATATGTATTATCTTCTTCTTGAATTGTTTTAAATAAGCCTATTTCGTTTTTCGTTCTTCAGTTCCGCCGTCCTCATTCACTAAAAACCCTTACTTCCAACCAAAGTTCATGTCGAGTGTCGATGGCAATATTCGTCTCAATCAAATTTCATTTCTAATGTATGTTCATCAACAAACCTTTTTGCTACTTTGATGGTATTCGTCATATGTTCAAGAATATCGATTTTGATGGTATGTCTTATACTGTATTTATGGGTTTTCTTGAACGATTCACACAAGAGAAGTGTGAGAAGCTTTGTTAGTGTCAACGTGATTTACAATCCCAGAAGGTTTAACCTTTATTTCTAATGAACTTCAATATCAAGAGTTTTAGACATTTCTTATTGGTAAGGAGTACAACTGCCTATTTACATGGTGTAACATCATGTTTCGGATTGTTTGTGATTGGGGTTCGTGGGCTAAAACCCGGGCATGAGGAAGCCTCGGGGTTACGACGAGTTGCTAGAGGCGTAGGGCATCTCGTCACCTTTCCGTGGATATGAGGTTTATGGGAAACAGAGTTATATCGAGGAAGCTGTGGAAGTTTGAAGTTTTGGGCAAGATAAGTCATTTAATTGAAAAGGGTGGCAGCGGAGTACGCTGGGCGTACGTGTGTGTACGCTTAGCGTACTCATGTGCGTGCTTTTTAAGCGGAGCCACCTAGTATGTTGGGCGTACCAGAGGGTACGATGGGCGTACTAGGCACAGAAGGAAAACCCTAATTGAGGGGAGTGTCCCTATATAAAGAATGAGATGGCCTCATTCCTGGCCACCATCCTCGGTCAATAAACCCTCTCAAACCCTAATCCTCGTTCTTGAGCTTGTGTGTGACCATTTGAGAGCCTTAAGTGATTTTATGTGTTCTTGAAGTGAAGAAGGAGCTTTGGAGAAGGAGTGAGAGTCCAAATTGATCGACAATCAACGTTATGAACAGTAGAAAAGATGTATATCTAATGTTTGGGGTCCAAATGTACGAATTTTGAGGAGGATGGAAGTAGAAATAGGTGTGAGTGAATGGGGCTCCATATTTTTAGCAACGGTATTTAGTGTTGGAAGCACGGTCCGCTTCAAGTTTTCCGACTGTCGTTCCTCTTTCTCCTTATTTTCGTTAATTAACTATTAGACAAAATTATATAAAGGGTAAATTATAAGAATGGTCCACGTGGTTTGGGTTATTTTGCATATGGACTATGGAGTCATTATTTTATTTTATTTTATTAACTCGGATTATCCATATAATTAGTAATTACTCACTTTGGGTGCAAATAAGTCAAACTATTCGTGAGCTATTCGAGTTTGGTTCGTTAAAAGTTCGACTCAAAACTGATTTTAAATGAATCCGAACCAAACTCGAGTTTAATATTAAGCTCGTTTATTAAACGAGCTTGAGCTTGAGCCTATGTAACTAAGCTCGATTAGGTCCGCGAGCCTAAACAAGCTTATATACAATATAATTTATTATTATTTTTATATATTAAAATAAAAAACATATTTGGGGAATTAAAGATTTAGGTATTAGTAAACGAGTTTCTTTAACGAGCTTGAACCGAGCTTAAGCTTATTTAGGCACGTTAGACAACAACCGAACCAAACTCGAGCCTGAACCGAACTTGTGTAATTCTTTACGAGCTCGAGCCAAGCTCAGTACAAGAAAGCTCGAATCATGCCGAACTCGAGCTCGAGCCTTGTATAATTTAAATGAGCCCGAGCCGAGCCTGGACAGGCTCAGGCTCGGCTCGGCTCGTTTGCAGCCCAATTAATACACACTACCAAACCTACCTAAATGATTGTCATACTATTATTTATTATTTTAAGCGAAAATATCATATTATCACATCGAACTTGTCGCGTTTGTTTTATAAAGCCACCCAATTTTTTTTTTTTGCACATTAAGAGAGTGAACTTACAGTTTCCTGTTTTAAAATATCCTTATGTGACCTGATACCAAATTCAAAGGTAATATACGTGTCACGAAAGAAATGTTTGTTTCATGTCCCTTTAATGAAATGGTCATATGTATTATCTTCTTCTTGAATTGTTTTAAATAAGCCTATTTCGTTTTTCGTTCTTCAGTTCCGCCGTCCTCATTCACTAAAAACCCTTACATCCAACCAAAGTTCATGTCGAGTGTCGATGGCAATATTCGTCTCAATCAAATTTCATTTCCAATGTATGTTCATCAACAAACCTTTTTGCTACTTTGATGGTATTCGTCATATGTTCAAGAATATCGATTCTGATGGTATGTCTTATACTGTATTTATGGGTTTTCTTGAACGATTCACACAAGAGAAGTGTGAGAAGCTTTGTTAGTGTCAACGTGATTTACAATCCCATAAGGTTTAACCTTTATTTCTAATGAACTTCAATATCAAGAGTTTTAGACATTTCTTATCGGTAAGGAGTACAACTGCCTATTTACATGGTGTAACATCATGTTTCGGATTGTTTGTGATTGGGGTTCGTGGGCTAAAACCCGGGCATGAGGAAGCCTCGGGGTTACGACGAGTTGCTAGAGGCGTAGGGTATCTCGTCACCTTTCCGTGGATATGAGGTTTATGGGAAACAGAGTTATATCGAGGAAGCTGTGGAAGTTTGAAGTTTTGGGCAAGATAAGTCCTTTAATTGAAAAGGGTGGCAGCGGAGTACGCTGGGGGTACGTGTGTGTACGCTTAGCGTACTCATGTGCGTGCTTTTTAAGCGGAGCCACCTAGTATGTTGGGCGTACCAGAGGGTACGATGGGCGTACTAGGCACAGAAGGAAAACCCTAATTGAGGGGAGTGTCCCTATATAAAGAATGAGATGGCCTCATTCCTGGCCACCATCCTCGGTCAATAAACCCTCTCAAACCCTAATCCTCGTTCTTGAGCTTGTGTGTGACCATTTGAGAGCCTTAAGTGATTTTATGTGTTCTTGAAGTGAAGAAGGAGCTTTGGAGAAGGAGTGAGAGTCCAAATTGATCGACAATCAACGTTATGAACAGTAGAAAAGATGTATATCAAATGTTTGGGGTCCAAATGTACGAATTTTGAGGAGGATGGAAGTAGAAATAGGTGTGAGTGAATGGGGCTCCATATTTTTAGCAACGGTATTTAGTGCTGGAAGCACGGTCCGCTTCAAGTTTTCCGACTGTCGTTCCTCTTTCTCCTTATTTTCGTTAATTAACTATTAGACAAAATTATATAAAGGGTAAATTATAAGAATGGTCCACGTGGTTTGGGTTATTTTGCATATGGACTATGGAGTCATTATTTTATTTTATTTTATTAACTCGGATTATCCATATAATTAGTAATTACTCACTTTGGGTGCAAATAAGTCAAACTATTCGTGAGCTATTCGAGTTTGGTTCGTTAAAAGTTCGACTCAAAACTGATTTTAAATGAATCCGAACCAAACTCGAGTTTAATATTAAGCTCGTTTATTAAACGAGCTTGAGCTTGAGCCTATGTAACTAAGCTCGATTAGGTCCGCGAGCCTAAACAAGCTTATATACAATATAATTTAATATTATTTTTATATATTAAAATAAAAAACATATTTGGGGAATTAAAGATTTAGGTATTAGTAAACGAGTTTCTTTAACGAGCTTGAACCGAGCTTAAGCTTATTTAGGCACATTAGACAACAACCGAACCAAACTCGAGCCTGAACCGAACTTGTGTAATTCTTTACGAGCTCGAGCCAAGCTCAGTACAAGAAAGCTCGAATCATGCCGAACTCGAGCTCGAGCCTTGTATAATTTAAATGAGCCCGAGCCGAGCCTGGACAGGCTCAGGCTCGGCTCGGTTCGTTTGCAGCCCAATTAATACACACTACCAAACCTACCTAAATGATTGTCATACTATTATTTATTATTTTAAGCGAAAATATCATATTATCACATCGAACTTG